CCCTTATTTTTACCCGTATATCGTTTGAAATTCCGTACACTCTTGCGAACCATATATGTTCCGCAGTCAATTTCATTATTTATTATGTAACATTATCAATACTAATTAATTATATCAATAATTCATCGGTAAAGTAGCATCAATATATATAGCAGATAAAAGGTTATAACAATGCGTGCTAGATTAGATTATTAGTTATAAAAAATTTAGATAGGTAATATGTCCCTATATAAATGGTGGTTTTGGAAATATAGCCTATGTCGCTAGGCGATGGTTATATCGCAAACAACCGTTTATATAAAGCCATGTAAATAAAAATGAAGTTTTTTATTAAGTTTGTATAATTGATTTTAATATAATATAATATATTATTTTTGTAAGTTTGTATAATGTTATATAATATAAGTAAATATTCAACATGTTTATTCATTTAAATAAATGAATAAAAAATACTTTCAATGCATCGAAATTTAGATGATCACGTAAATGACCATTACGAATAACATTTTTTTATGGAAATGTGACATCATTTTATTTTTAAATGAAGGTGTTTAGATAATTTTTACCACGCAATACCATCCGATAGTTTTGAAATATGATAAACAAGATCGACAAGGAAAGGCAGCATTCAATGAACGCAGCCCCCACCCGTTTATTTTCATTATCAACATTATTTTTTTATTATATCAGTGTCACTCTGCCTGTGTATTCCCGTTAAAATATAAATTTTGATTACGAAAAAACTGAGCTCCTGACAGACTGTTAATTAAGTCCGTGAATGGGATATTACATTTTTTGTCCAAATGACAACAATAAATGGTCGGCGAACCATACGCTAAATAACTATGGAAACGCGCTGTATTAATAATATCTGTTGGGCGGTAACGAGGCTTGCCGAGTTACCGCCCATGGGCGGGTAACAGAGGGGCGGATATTCCGATCCGAACCGCAAACATATGTCAGATATTTTTTCTTGCATATTCTACCATATTCCATTATATTTTAAATTCTTTATCTTTATTTTCAATGGAAATTTATATCATGATAACCGTAACTACTTTCTTACAACAGCGTATGAAATTGCAACTTCATTCATAACGGTAAAATGACGTCATCCTAAGCGTGCCATTGTACAGCACGCGACTCATCTGGCACCCCCCATGCCAAATGAAATTTCCGGCATGGGTAAAACTAACGGAAATGCCAGTCTGCTATGCAAGAAAACCAATATGCGTCTACGTGACACCTATATCAGACGACATTGAGCACGGCACCTAGCTATAGGTATCGTTAACAAACATAATCAACATACGAAAAATAAAAAAAATATTATAATATATTTAAGGGTGTGCTGGAATTGTAACGTATAAATACATGTATTTTTCGTGAAAAACATATCGATAAAAGAAAACTGTTCTCCTCAAAATAATGTCGATAAGAATTCGGCTAAACAATGAGTGAGAGCACGAGCGCCTCATTTTAAAGTTTTCACGAGTTTCATAAATTCCATAAAAATCCGTTTGTTAAGATATCTTTATGAAACTTTCATTGTCTGAAAGGGAACAACGTTGCATTAAAGAAAAAATAATACAATAGGGGAGAAAAAAATGTGTACGGTACCGCTATAACTACCGCGCGCAGCAAGCTTAAGTGTAATTTTTCACAAATTTCATTTATCGCTCAAGAACAATGTTATTAAGATATTTGGATGAAAATTCCACTGTATGGTAGGGAACAATATTGCATTAGAGAAAGAACAATACATATTATGATATATCTAAGTACATGTATTTTTCGGGAAAAAGCTTAAATCAGATAAAAGATGGACTTTCACTTCCACTGAATATTTAAACATATCGATATTTATTAAGATATATAAGGATTATTTAGATCGGAATATAGTTAATTACATATACAAGGTAGACAATGATACCTTAGGTACGGAAAACACGTGTATTATACCGCTATAAATACTGCGCGCACCTAACTAAAGTTGAGATTTTCACGAACTTAATTAATCGCTTAAGAACTTATTTATTAAAATATCTGGATGGAAATTTCACTGTATGATAGGTGAACATCTTGCATTTAAGAAAAATAAAAAAAAAAATATTATAATTTATTTAAGGGTGTGTTGGAATTGTAACGTATAAATACATGTATTTTTCGTGAAAAAAAGCTTAAATCGGAATAAAAGGGTGGTTGAAGTTTCAAATATATAGATATTTATTAAGATATATCGGGATAATTTAGATCAGAATAACGGTCATTGTCTATACAAGGTAGACAACGAAGCAATTTATGAAATCTTAGGGAGGAAAACCGGGGCGGGAAAACACGCATATAGTTCTGTTCTTAAAAACCGCGCAGCATATTTCAGTCGTGTGACTGATGAAAATTTCACTGAATACTAGGGACAATGTTATATTAAAGAAAGACTAAAAGATATTTTAATTTATCTATCTATATATCTAAAGAGGAAATTATATGTACAAGGTAAACAATAAAAGCAAACTATGATATCTTAGGACAGAGAACACACATGTATACCTGATAGAAGTACCGGGCCGGTAAAAAAATAAGTTTTTCACAAACTTCATTGGTTTCGCGTAAAGTTATACAGTGATATACTTTCATGGAAACTCTACTGATATATAGGTTGAAGAATTGCAATTAAGTAAAACAATTACATTATATAATATATCTATATGCTTGTATGGTACAAGACTTTAAAAAACATGTACATATCGAAAATTGAAAATTCCGAAAAATCAGAAGTCGTAAAATCTCGTCTGCATATTATGAAATAAGGGCGTGAGACCAATGTCGTAAAATGTCAGTTTGATCACGGTGACATATATTCTCCGGCGACAATTCGAACTAAATGTTATCATATCAAACTAAATAAGATAAATAAGGAAACAATCGATACGTTGGTACGACACTGTCTCTTATTCAAAATGCACATAATTCAAATACATGTACGAGGTGCATGGTGAGAACATATAATGGTGGAAATGAACGGAAGCTATCTATAATCACGACTGTCCCACAATTATATGCTTATTACGGGACAGACACGTTGGGGGGCTTTTAGGGTGTCGGGCTATTGCCGATTGTATGATGAAAGCATTATCCAGGGACAGGGGTGCGATTACGCCTCCTTCGGAATCAAGTATATTAAATGATGATAGTGCATTAATAGACAAAAATGGTGTTGATACTGTTCAAGAGATGCCGTAAAATGATAAAAAAAATCACTGTATGGATTTATTACATGCTTTTCGGTGATATATATCAGTGAATTAAAAACTGATAATTTCACTGTTTTTAATTTAAGCCCCCTACGTTGTTTGAGTGAAATACAAGCGTTCACAGTGCTTGAAACCACCTTAATGACGTGACTTCGTAAATGACGTCACGTTGTATATTTTTTTGGCGCGCCTTCCATTTAGTATTAGGTTAAATGTCATTTAAATGTTTATAATATAATACAAAGAAAATTTGTTACACTGAAATAAACAAATATCCTCTATATATAATATTACTTCAACAACGGGACAGAAATTCAAGGGATGAAAATGTCGTTGTCTTCAAGGTTGTGTAATATTTCGATATTAAATCATTGTTCCAAGTATATTAAAAAAATGTATTATAACAATGGCTGTTTTTAACATTTTTCGAAAAATCATTATTACGGCGATTAACGCGGTTTTCATAGGACGACAATCATCGCATTTTTTAACAATAAACTTTCATTTATCAAATATTTCATCTATATATAAAGCATCAGATTTCCCTTGTTAATTGATTTTTAGTGTTAAATAACATTATTTTGGACCGCTTTTCTACAATAAATACCCCCAAGGAACATACAGTAAAGCATATGCAACGGTTCTCATTTAGATAATGTTAGTCTCTATAGCACATGATTAATTGGGCGGAGCGATAAACCGTTTAGCGTCTGGTCAATTCCGCTGCGTGGCAGACTATACCTTTACGATACTGTACAAATGTGCATGTTATGTTTATGTGATAAGCGACGATAATTTCCATTACGCCGCCTGTCAATCAAGCTGGCAGGGGTCACAGAGATAAGCTAATCAGCGATCGTTATCAGTTTCACCCTAAGATGCCTACGAAGCCCATCATTTACCTTCAATAAAACAATGGTGCTTGAAATTATTTTAATTTCATATAAATTTAAAGCTATTTAATCGGTATATTACATTATTATTAAAGTTACCAGATATACTGACATATTGACATATCGAGTAAGTTAGTTTATTAAACCAAAGTCAATTGATTTCTACAAATGGAAATAATAAGTTTTGTAGTAGGTACAAAACATTTATCCTGGCTGTAGCACAATGCATTGAAAAATAAAAACGTTTCAATAAATCCACAATTTTTGCCATTACCTATTCATAATCACATTATAAACATATAATACGGTCCCAGAATATCCAAAAGATATGACATTTTGTAGTTTATAACGTATAGCGTCAATAAAAACGCAGCCGTAAAAATGCAAATGTAATAAGTAAACACAATACAGTGAACGTTGAGAAAACGAGGCGCTGTGAATATCGGAACTCTTTAAATACCGGACAATTAATTTAGTCATTCGTTAAACGATTGCATGAAACATCGACAATACCGGAATCTGTAAAAACCGAGAATTTATTTATTTATTTATTTAAGTCTCATTCATGTACATACACAAATAAAATTCATAAGCAAACATAAAACACAAAAAAGTACATGACCATTCAATCATTGAATTATAAGAGACTAGTAAAACATTTATAATAACACGATTAAATATCATACTAATCATAAAATTATATCCAATTATAAATAATAACTAACTACACAGTACAAAAACTATAAATTAATGGAAAGAAATATACATTTATATATTTATATGATTAAAAAAAAACAGTCGCTATTTTTTATTATTTCAAAGTAAGAAAACAAAAATAAAAAAAATAAAAAAACATACATCAAAACATAAAAAAATATATATATAAAAAAAATACAGTAGCATGTTCTATATAAAATATATTATTTACATAAGTAAGATTGACGACGTTGAAGAATATTAAAACAGGTTTTGGCACATTTTCTGACTAATGGTTGACTAGAGAACAAAAATGCAAGTTGGTTGTCTTTGCTAAAATTAATAAAAGAAGGTTCGTGCAACACAGCCTTAGAGATTAATTCTGATCTAAAATCATCATATACTGGGCAGTCTAATATAACATGCTGTTCATCTTCAAGTACATTACAAAAAGGACAGTGGCGTTCATCTAATCTCAGATTCTCGTACCTACCCGTTTCGATACGAATAGGGGCTACCCCACACCTAAATTTACAAAACGCTGACCTATGCCTAGGGGGTAAGATCATTTTACAGTACTCTTCTGACGTATGTTCCTGCTTAAAAGTTCTATAGGTTCTCAGCTTATTCAGACCCCTACCTGACGGGCCCACTGTACAATTAACCGAACGGATCCATTCAGCCTTAAATCCCTCCATAGTCAAAGATTCAACCTGGCGCACAAAGGAAGTTTTAGCAATGGGTGAAGACAAGTCGCAAAACATACCAAGATTTAATTCATTCCATTGCTTTTGGACATGATAAAACCAATTTTTACATTGAGGAGCACCTTTTGTCAACGACCAAAGTTCAATCCGTTTATTTAGTCTACAAGTATTTGTTTGGGAAAGGCGCACCCAAAAAATGGCCACTGATTTCCATTGCCGGACCAAAGGGGGGACCCAACCCATATCTCCTGAAACTGCTGCATTGGGCGTATATTTTCCCACCCCAAGGAAGACTCTCATAGCTCGATTATGGACAGCATTTATGCAAGAATATGACTTATGACCCCATAAGGAAGCCCCATACGCAATAACAGGCCATACAACAGAGTCATACAATTTAGTAAAAACGCTATGAGGAACCCCTCCAACTAACTTACACTTGGCTATCAGTAAGCCTAACGCACGGCTAGCGCTTTGTGCCACCATCCTAGCTGTAACATTGAAATCGACATGCTCATGCAAAACGATTCCCAAATATTTGTATTTATCAGCATAACTTAACGTATCATGACCACATTTAAAGACAAAATCTGATCTAGTACAGGATTCTGGGCGGAAATGAACAATGTTACTCTTGCTTGTATTTATTGACATGTCGTTTATACTACACCAATCGTGTAGACCATTTAATAAACATTGTAAGTCACGCTCGGTTTCTGCAAGTAGCACAATATCATCAGCATACAAAAGTATACATACAATTTCATCATCAATTGTTACACCAATATTAAGAGACTTTAAATACAACGCAAGATCATTGATATAAAGATTAAAAAGTAAAGGTGATAAAACACAGCCTTGACGTAAGCCACAGTGGACGTCAAACCAGTCAGTAGTGAACGAGTTAATTCTAACACATGATGCTAAAGATGAATATAAAGACTTAATGGCTCGTAACATTTTGCCACAAACACCAGTAACTTGTAATCGACTCCACAACTTAGAACGATTGATTAGGTCATAAGCTTTACGAAAATCGATAAATGCTGTAAAAGTACTTTTTTTCATTTTCTTCCTAGTATCAATTAGGTTAACAAGAGATGAAATGTGATCAGTTGTGCTTCTTTTCCTACGGAAGCCGTTCTGTTCATCAACAATAATGTTATTGGCTTCAGACCATGAACTCAATCTATCATTTAAAATGTTACAATATAACTTATACATAGAACATGTCAAGGATATACCCCTATATGATAAAGGATCCCTACCATCTGCAGTTGATGACTTTGGTATTGGATTGATTAGGCATTTGTTCCAAACAGAAGGTACTATACCTTTATCAAAACAGACATTAAATAAAGCGTGTAAAAATACAACAGTTGTGTCATTTTTTAAGACCTCAGAAGGAATCTTATCAAAACCAGTCGCCTTTTTAAGTTTAGCTTTGTCTATCGCCTTTTTAACTTCTAGTATAGATATCTGGTTATTAAATGACTCTTGTATAACATCACTCTCATTTATTTGATCATCATTAATAATCTGATCATTATTTACATTGTTAATGGTATTGTTAAATACGGGTTGAAGGGGAAGATTAACAGTATGAAGTCAATTATATAGATAATTACCCTGACAATACCGGACGTCGAAGGTGTGAATAACCTTGCAATTGTCAATTGATTGTTTCTAATTCGCTAACTGAGCGGTAACGAAATAGTAATTGTCTGATTTGTTTATTATGTCTCTTTTCACAGTTTGATTTACTTTGATTTATATTTCTTTCTTTAAAACATTAAAAATGTGTATTATTCTTTATATTTCTGTTTAAATAATGACTAAATGGCTATTGATACTGCATTATCTTTTCAGGACTTTACAACCGGATCATATATATTGTAAAATATTATTTTGTAAACCCATTATGTATTTTATTAATACCTGATTGAATAAAGATTTTTGAATTGAATTGAATTGAATTGTTTATTATGTCTCTTTTCACAGTTTGATTTACTGTAAAGCATATATGTTACCGTTTAATAGTTATGCCTAAATGCGCAGGTAAAATCGGTATGAATAAAAACACAGATTTTTTTATAATTCAATATTTTATTTGCAATAATCAGCATACAAAATGCCTCTGGCAAAGGTTAACAAACTACAATATATATACAAATCACACATGCATCAAATTACATATAATTGTTATACAATTGTTACATCATTGCGAAGCTGATTTGGAGAAGCAGTAAAGTATATGACATGCATTAACTTACATATTAATTTCATTTCTTTTCAAAAATGCTTCATTAAAAAATCTCGATACATTCAGTAACGTTGACTGTTTTCTACTTGACATTAAACTAAAAAATTTAGGTAAAGATGGCCATGCTGTGTTTGGAAAATATTTGTTGCGAATTTCAGAATAATGAGTAAAGATTAAAGATTAAAGATTAAAAGAAAGTGGTATTCACATTCAACAACATGCATTGTACAATTTTCACACAATCTATTCTGTCTATCTATACCTCGATAACGGCCGGTTTCTATAGCTAGATTATGACTGCTTAACCTAAAGGATGCAAACAGTTTCACTAATTTGTCACTTTTTATTTTGTTAAGATATTCCTCTGATTCAAATACAGTTTTAAATTGAACATAATAAGATAATTTCGGCAAATTATTGATTGTCGTATGCCAATGTTGGATAAATTGATCTCTCAATCTTCGTGACAAAGAAGGAAAATAGTTTACATCTTTATTAAAATTATCCCATATATCATTTAAACCAAGATTATACAATAGTTTTTTTACAGAGAGAGCCCAATTTTGATCATTATTACTATTACACTCAGTAGAAAATAACTTACACATTAATGACTCTGGATTTGATTTTAATTTAGTGTAATATTTTAGAGATTTTTCTTGGCAAATAACTGATAAGGGGAATCTCCCTAATTCACCTAAAACAGCGTAATTTGGAGTCTGCGATTTCACACCTAATATGGTTTTGCAAAATTTTATGTGAATCTTATCAACCTCTTTAGGACAATATATTCCCCAAACTTCCGCAGAATAAAGCAAAATTGGTGCAACTAGGGAATCAAACAATTTAAGTTTCGTTATAATATCGACATGTATTCTTGTAAAAAGACTTAACAAATTATACATTGCCTTTAAAGCCTGATCAGAAAGAATTTTTGCTGTTTTAGCAATGTTACCATTTGAAACAAAAGTCACTCCTAGATAACAGAAACTGTCTACAATATCAATAACATTATCATCAATGTAAAATTGTCTTTGCTCTCGAGATTTACGTTTTTCAAAAATACAAATTTTGGTCTTCTTTATATTTATCTTAAGACCCCATTGTTTGGAATATTCATATACATAGTTAAGGTGATTCTGTAAAGTATTAGGATCGGTAGAAAATACAACCATATCATCTGCAAAAAGCAACATAAATACACATAATTGGTTAAGATCATAGTCTGATAAACTATTAAGGTTAATGTTTTTGCATACATCATTTATGAAGAGTATAAACATTATCGGTGAAAGTGGCTCTCCTTGTTTCAATCCAATTGATATATCGAAAAAGTCTGAAAATTTACAAGCATTTTTAACACATGACGAAACTTTTTCATATATTGCTTTTATCATATTCACCATTTTACTGCTAATTCCCTCTTTTAACAATTTAACAAATAATGCTTCTCTATTAACTGTATCGAAGGCTTTTTCGTAGTCTATAAAAGCGCAATACAATTTCTTTTTATCATGTAACACTTTTTGGATAATACAATGTAATAAAAATATACAATCGGTTGTGCTTTTTTTATCTCTGAAACCAAACTGATTTTCACAAAATATATCTTCTGTCTCGCACCATTCGTTTATTCTGTTTCTTAAAACAAGGGAAAAAAGTTTAGCCATGCTATTCACAAGAGTAATACCCCTGTAATTACTAGGATCGGATTTATCACCCTTTTTGTAAATTGGGACAATTATCCCCTTGGTCCAAGAATCCGGATAAACCCCTGCATCATAGATAATGTTAAATAATTTAACTAAATATGGTGTAATGAAATCTTTAGCGTCGATAAAAAATTCGGCCACAATTTTATCCGTTGATGCAGCTTTATTTCTATTGCATGAGGAAATCGCTTTTAAGATTTCATCTTTGGTGATTTTTGTATCTAAAAAATCTACATGAATTTCATCTAAATTTACTTCTAAATCATTCATATCTGTATTTCTTGGCATGTTAGCAAAATGATTAACAAACTCGTCTAAAGAAACATCGAAGTTTGTACTCTCATTCTTATTTCGGAATTTATTAATTTTCTGCCAAAATTTACGAGGTGATTTTTTACTTAAATCAGAAAATATATTTTTTTCAGTCGTGAAAAACTTTACTTTAGCTTTATGTTTGATTTTATTATATTTGCTCCTTAATTCTAAAAAACGTTTTCTGTTTTCCTCTGTGTTTACTCTTTTGAGCCTTCTTCTCGCTGTGATTTATAATGCCTACATTCTTGATTAAACCATCGATTTTTGCCCTTTTTGCTATTAGTAAGACCATTTTTTGTTATTGTTTTACCAAAAATCAAAGATGAACATTTATATATCACATCCGAAAATGCTTGCATACCTTCACTGATATTAATATTTTTGTTATCAATTTCGTGTACAATCTTGTCAAAATCATTTCTATTATTCTCTAAACAAGCCAAAAGGTCACAAACATGATCATTATTCCACACTAATTTATCTTCTTTAATGATTGTTTTATTAGCTGAACTTGACAAATCACAATTTAAAGAAAATTCAACAGCACAATGATCTGAAAATTCGTTTACACCTAACACCTCCATTGTATTCAAATTACAGTAACCTAAAATATTTACAATAAGATAATCTACAACGCTAGCACCCTTTTTATTTCTAGAGCAGCAGTGATATGTAAAATCACCCTTTTCTAATCGGCCATTTACAATGCGTAAATCATGCTGCTTACATAAAGAGAGTAATTTTAGACCAAACGGGTTACATATTTTATCAGACGAGTGTCTTACAGGTAACATAACATCATGCATTTCTGGCATGTCCACAAATCTCTGTAAATTTATATTTTCAACAAAGTCGGGGGTTACCCCTGTTCGACTGTTCAGGTCCCCGCACCAATACGTATCACCTTGAGTTTCATACCGACTAAAATCGGCACTTATTTGGCTAAATAGATCACATTCAAAAAGTATCGAATTTTCATTTTTATAAACAGATGATTCTTCCGGAGGAATATATGCTAAACAGAAAAACGCATCACGGACTAGATTACATAATTCACTCTTGATCTTAAACCACAATATACCTCTATTATCGGATTTAACAAGGTCAATCTTTCCGCTTAAATGGCTTCTGTAATAAACAATTAAACCTCCACTAAAACGTTTAGCCCTTTTGTTAGTTTTAGGCCTAGCACAATGAAAATTCAGGTATCCATCAATGCATACATTCGATCTGGAAGAAGTCCATGTTTCAGTCAAAAGAATAATGTCATATCTGTTTATAAAGGTTAAAAAATCATTGTCATCTAATTTATTTTGGAGACCTTGGACATTCCACAAGACAAATGTTAACTGTTCCTCCGTTATATCCTACTCATGCGTATCATCAGGTGAAATACTGGTTGATCGTTGACCTCGTATGATAAGCCGGTCAAATGAAATAATTGCATCCTTGCCTTCTTCTCGTGCTTTGATAAGCTCAGGGATTAACGCCTTTCGTTTTTCTCGCACTTTGTCGGGATATTGGTCACTAACCCGATAATCTGTATTTTTCAATAACATTCTAGCTTGTTGTTTTATCAAAGCTTTATCTGGGGGGTAACTGCATTTAACTACAATGGGGCGTGTTTTGTTTGACAAAAATTTCCCTAATCTATGAGCACGATCAAATTTTATGTTTTTCTTAGCATCTGACATTTTTAGATTGTTTTCACAGAAGTTGAGAATTTTTAATGAACAGTTTTCATCTCGTCTGTTGTTAGCTAGGGTTTCCTCTGGAATGTTGAAGAACAACAAATTATCCCTCATCGATCGTGCTTGCAAATCCACAATATCGTCTTCTAATTTAGAGTTGCTTTGTTTCAAATTATGCAGTTCACCTTGCATGCTATTACATCTTTGTTTTTCATCGGAGAGAATTTTGTCGATATTTTTCTGTTTAGAACTGATCTCATTGCACACCTGTGAATCAAATGTTCTGCTTTTTTCAAGTTCTAGTATTGTTTTATTCGAATCAGACATTTTGGATTCCAGAGAAGAGATTCTATGATTCATTGAAGATATTTTAGAGTTAATGTTTAACACTTGTTCCTCAATTGAGTCCAGTTTACGCAAACGTAAATCAATAGCTTCAAGTTTTGACATAATTACCGTATTGTCGATAATCGGTGAGACTGGATTATTATAATGCTGCGTCTGCGACTGTGACATCTGAGGCGGCGGTGTCATAGGCATTGCATTTGGACTCTGTATATAAGATCCCATCATATTAGGGATGTAAGGCTGTTGTAATT